CAGTTGTTACAGCTATACCTTAATATTATAAACCTTTTAAAAAAAAATAAAAAAAAATTGTTATAAATGAAGCCAGCCCTCTTTTGCCAAAAGACAGCCAAAAGACAGACATCCAGTTTTATTGAAGGAAGTTTAGCTATTCTTGACCAAAAAACTACTGAAGGAGACTCTTACTTTTTCTCTAACTTGTCAAAGAAACGTTCAATATGGAGCACAGCTGACTAAGACTCAATATCTACGTATATCGCTACTTTTTTTTTTTTTTTTTTTTCATTTGTTATTTAGGTGCCCCAAGAAGACCTAACGGTCTTGTCACAGAGCACTGCGGAAGTGCATTTAACCAGGAAGTTCACGCCTCCTTTCTTACCGTGACGCAAAATATGTCCAAAGTTTGTTTCAAACCTGGATCTCCTGCTTAAAAACAAGCGCTCTAACCACTGCACTACGGCCGCTGGTATTTGGCTCTTGACGTTTGACTTGTATTTGGCACTTGAATGCTCAATAATTTTGAACAAATATAAAATATTTATCAAATATTTGATACTTGAAACTAAAGTTAAAATGCCTTTTTTGACTTTTTTTTTAAAAAAGGCATTGTATTTTATTTTAATGTAACTTATATACTTATTTGCTTTTTATATGCTTTTTTTTAAATAATAAAATATATTGAAGTTTTTTAATATTTTTTGTTATAAATTTAGTTGCAATGCAATATAGTTGAAATGCAAAATAGTTGAATGCAATATAATTGCGTTTCTTTAGAGAAACTTTGTAATTATCTTAAAATGCTTGAAAAATGTTGTATTATTAAAAATTGTTTATACAACAAAATGTTATAAAATAAATATATCCTCTAATATCCTCTAATAACCCTAATAAATATATCCTATTATAATAAATATATCATGAGGTAGTCAACATAAGTATTAATAAGTAATAATAAGTCGGTTTAAGTAATAAAAGTTAGGTATCTGAATTAAAAACTCAAATAACTTTCCCAATATTATATTTGATGTTTTCAGAAATTTTTATGTTGATAAAAAAACCTATTAAGATTTTTAACAACAAAATCTTTCAGATCATCTTTCATATTCCGAATTAATATTACTATTATTTTTTTTTTTTTTAAGTTTACAGTGTTAGTCCTGATACAGTAAAATAAACTATCAAAATTCCTTTAAAAATACATAAAAGCGTGATAACAGTGTAAATTAGGTTTCTCAAAGAAGATCACTAAAATCTTATCATCGGAACATTAAAAATAATAAGAAACTAACTAATTTGCAAATACCGTGTAAAGTATAAGTTACAATTAGTAGAATATAATTATATAAAGAATCTTTTACATCAGCGAACTTTATACAATATAAATAACATGATGTAAATATAAAAACAATATAAATGATTGTAAACAACATGACCACAAAACTTTAGAGAAAAAGAATAAAAATCCAAACATAAAGTTAATAAGTAGATAAAATAATTAGTAATACTATAAAATGTTAACGAGAAAAAGAATTAAATTTTTTATTTTGTTTTAAAAAAGAAAAAAAGAATATGATTGATTAAAATCAAAAAATTAATTATTGTTTTCTATTTGTAAGATAACTTTTAATTCAATTGTAAGTCTGGCTAATTATACCATAGTGTTATAGTTTATATAATAGGATTCAGTTATCAACTATATGAAATGCTTTTGATAAATTAATAAAAACTTCTTAGGTAAATTTATTTTGTTAAAAACTATTAGTTATTTGATCAACTTGTTGTATTTTTGCATGTTCAGTTGGGAAATTTTTTTGAACTGCAAACTTTGGGTAAAATAATTTGTTTTTAGTGAAGTGAATATAAATTTAATTATAAATTAGACGTTCGAAAAGTTTTGAAAATTCAGAAAGTATTGATATAGGTTTGTAGTTGGTTATGTCCGAATGTTCATTACATTTAAATATAGGAATTACTTCTGCTAATTTAAGTTATCAGGGAAAATCCTAAAAGTTATTGAGAGCTTTATGGATCAGAAATCTGCTTTTGTTGATCAGAAGCCTGATTTTGTTGAAGACAGGGGCCTGATTTTGTTGAAGACAGGGGCAGGATCCAGAATTTTTTGGTCTTTGAGATTGCTAACTTCCAGACATGGAGCAAACTCCAAACATTTATATGTTTATACTTATGTCAAATAAGAATGCTTTGCAAAAAATTCCGATGATTGGAGGCTGGGAACAAAAAAACTTAAAATTTTTGTCCCCCCTAAATCTTTTAGCGTTCGATAATTATGACCATATAAAGTTTAAACCCCCATCAATTTGAGGGGGCTGCAAATTTTATATGGTCATAATTTTTAAACGCTGAGAGATAATACTATGAAACTTAAAATTTATCGATGAATAAAAGTCTAGTTGAGAATAGTACAAAAAATATTTCATCAACTTGTTGCTCTCACGTTTGGGGCAGGGGACAAAAATTTTGGGGCTTTTTTGTTCCCAGCCTCCAATCATCGCAATTTTTTGCAAAGCATTTTAATTTGACATAAATATACATATATAAATGCTTGGAGTTTGCTCAATTTATCAAAGTTACCTATCTCAACGACCAAAAATACCTGGATCCGCCCCTGGTTGAAGATAACTATATCACTATTTCATCAAACAAAAGATAACTATATCACTATTTCATCAAACAAAAGATAACTATATCACTATTTCATCAAACAAAAGAATGTTTTAGCTTTAAACAACAAACTAAAACTATCCTTTGAAACATAAAACAAACAAACAAGGAAAATTAAAATAATCAAATAAAACCTAATAGCATTTATATTATATTACAATAAAACATGTGTTAAACTAAAATATCATATTATAATCTAATATTTATATATGTCATATTTAAATTATAATCTTTTAGAACAAAGTTTATTTAATTTCATATTAATACGTAGTTAAACTAACATAACAGGTAACCTAACGGTAAAATACATAACGCTTTTTATAGACAAAAAAATATGTAAAATAATATTTTCGGAAAATAACGCTTAACATTTTTTACTAATATAACGGTAATCATAACTCTAAATTTTTCACTAATCGTTTTGTAACCTTATAGCGTTAGCGCTATATTTTTTACATAAAACCTTTATGTTACCGTTATTTTATATATATATATAATATAATAACTTTATATATATTACAATATAAAACAGATATTTTAAACTTTTATATTACATTTAATGATTTTCAAGTATAAATATGAATGAAATGAATTTTAAACCTATTAAATGACGGTTACCCGTCATTTGAAATTGCTGCCCGTCTAATAACCAAAGGATGGCTAGTAAGCAACGGGTTGGTATCGAGTGGTACCCTGGTACCACTCGATAGCCTTATCTACTGTAACCTTCATCAATATTTTGAATGCTTTGCGTAATAAAACAAACAATATAGACTTTTTAAATCTATTTAATTAGGCACTGATGTTTATCTACAACACGATTTTTAAAAAACAACAGATTATAATAAATAGTTAAAAAAGAAAAATTATAATAAATCTGCAAAGATTATGACACATCATTTTATATAAAACGTATACAAAACAGGTAACGTTAGATTATACCTTAGTTATTCATAATAATTGCATCCATTTTTATAGAATGTTGAATTAAAAACTGATCAAGTTAAATTTATAAATATACAACTAGATAAAAAATAGATTTGTAAAGAAAAAGAAATGAAAATTTAAAAAACCTACAAATCATTTTTTAGCCATATTTTAAAAGGTTGACTAAAAAAAACAGTTTAGTCTGAGATACTTTATAGAAAGAAAACTTTAAATTAATTTTTTCCTCATAATTCTAGCTAAAGCATACTAATCTTTTAAATAATGACGCAGGCAGAATTATTAAATAATGACTTAGGCAAGATTCACAAATCTTTACGTAGGCATGACTTTTAAATGATGACATAGGCAGGACATTTTGATCTTTTAAAAATGAAACATTTACACTTATTTAATAGCATAAATTTAAAAACTTTTATTTAAATTAATCAAAAGGTTTTAAGTTTTATTGAGTATATTTTTAACGTTCAATACTTATGATCTTTCAAAATTTCCACCATTCCTAAAATGTGGGAGTTGTAAGTATTGCTTCGTCATAACTTTTAAAAGCTGAAAAGATAATAAATCAACTTTGTTTAATTTGATAAATTTTGTATAATTATAAAATTGTTTTCCTAAAATCTAGAGGATAAAGTTTTACTTTCCTAGGGAAATTAAAACCTTTTCCGGGGGAATTTTTCGCATCAAAAAAACCTAGCTTTTGACCTATTCTTTAAATACTGAATGTTGAGATATTTAAAAACTTTTGAATGCTTCAACGTAACAAAAAGTTAGTAAATATACGATGTCTCGATTTTGTTTTCAAAATATTTTAAAGGTTTCCAGTCTAAAGTAAACTGAAAGGGCGCTTTAAAAGTATATGTTTGTGTTAAGATCTTCATATAATTTTGAGCCCTGTCTCTTTGTTATTCATATATTTGTAATTAAATTTTATTTCATGTGAGATGTAAACAAAAACTACCCATAAACAGCAAAATAAAATCAGATAATTACCGCCTTGTTTACTGGACTAAATATAACAAAAAAGTTATAAAATCTAAAATCTCTCTTTGTTTGAACTAATTATGTAAACGTTTTGCAACCTGCAACAACAAGATTGGTCGCAACTTTGAAAAATTGTTCTTGTTGTTGCAAGAAATGTGTTTTTATTACACAAATTTTTTCCATAGCTTTATAAAGTTATTTTTAAGAAGAAACGAATTATAAAAATACTATGCATTAATTATGTATTGGAAAAAAAGTTGTTTTCTATTTTATTAAACGTAAGGATATATCATGGACCTGAAAAAAAATAAGCGCAATTAAATACTGCATTAAGTTCTTTGCTTTAATTTATAGTAACAATTATAGTGTATTTTGTTTATGCCTTTTTTATATTTTTTTAGGTATAATATCAAACAGCTTGGTTTCTTACCTTATTATTTCTAATTCTAAACTTAGAAATATTGTCAACTTGCTTATTTTGAACCTTGCAATTTCAGACATAATTGCGTGCTTAAGCATCTTCCCATTTATCTACATTGACTTAGCTGAAACAAGAATACGAGGTGCTACAGCAAATCTTCTATGCGGTTTTACGGCTGGTTTGTCTGGTTTCTTTGCTGCAGCTATCGAATCATTCATAACTTTAAGTGTGTTTTCTATCACAAGATATTTAATTATAAACCACCCATTAAAACTATCATGGAGACTTGAGTTAAAAAATATGAAATGGGTGTTTGGATTAACTTGGACATTAAGTTTTGTAATTGTTATACCTAACCTTATATCATACAAATACGATGAAAATTTCAAGATATGTATAAGAAATTGGGCACGTGGTGTTGATCCACTAGTTTACTTTACTTTTATAATTGTTATAGGATTGTTTTTGCCTTTGACTTCTCTTTTGTTTACATACTTCACCAGTTTGTATACTCTGTATATTAAAGGTCAATTGCGTGAAAATACATTAAATAAAAACTCAGCTGTATCAGAAAGAAATTTTGGAACAAAAAAAAAAGCCCTTAAGTGGTTAGGCTTTCTCGTGCTTGTGTATTTAATTTGTTGGTTACCTTTTGCTACATACTTATTTTTTTCCGTCGTCATGGGTAAATACTCAAAGAATTACGACGATGTAAGAAAAGGCGTACGCCTGTTTAGGCTAACAATATTTTTTGCTGCTTTTAATACTGTGCTTAATCCTCTAATATATGCATATAAAAGCAAACAGCTGAGATCTGCTTTTAAATTATTATTTAAATTGCGTGTTCGTGCTGAACTAACTTCAACATTAAAAAGTACTTTCTACGACCAGCTTGAAATTATAGAACAAAACGCTCTAATTTAACACGAAATATCTTCAAAACTTTTTTTAGAAGTTTGTCATAATATCTTGATAGTTTACGAACTTCTTTTTATTATATAAAAGTTGTACTGAATTGAAACTGCTCAAAAGTTTTATATATAAAAATAATATTCCTATTTCTTTTTCATTCAATAACAATATAAAAAATATGTACCTATCTTGAAAAAAACCCGTTTCATAAATGCAATTTTGGCTGGCTTATTATAGATATCATTAAGTACGTAAAACTACTCATTTTGTAATTTTTAGTTGTAAATTACAACAACAACAACAATAACAAGCTATATATTTTCCGTAAATCATTTTACAATTGTTTTGATAATAATGAAAATAATAATAATAATAATAATAGTAATATTAGCAAAAATATATTATACATTATTGTGATTTTTTTTTTTTTAATTTTTTAATAAAAATTATAAAAACTTAAAATCTATAATTTTTATTATTTTTACCTACAAATAAAATGACATTATTACGCACACACTGTGTACCCAAACCATAATCAACCGTAAAATCATGTCCCGAGAAAACCCTTTGGGGGGATGATATCCCATATATAGTATATCATTTAGATATAAATTTGGAAATCAAACTTTTAGGTCAGGGAAGATATTTTGATTTTAAATTTTGAAGCTAATAGCCTAAAAATTTGCAAAATGACAGGAGATTTCATTTCATAGTTGTGAGTTGTTTCATAGTCACTTCATAGTTGTGACAACAAAAGAAGTATTCTTATGTATATAAAACAACATTTTTGAATGAAAATATCACATCAGGAAAAAATTCTTTAAGATATCAATATTCTTAATTTTGGTTTGGAAAATACCCTTTCAACTAAAATGAATGTTTGCTGTTGAGGTCTATAACACAATTCAGAAGCTTCTTTTCATATTCTGAACGACTAGGATCACGTTTGTACATTGAATTTGTGATGTACATTGAAGTTGTGATGCAAAAATTCTGTGGCTTGTACAGAAAATACTCCAAGGCTTGACTTGTGGCGGTCAATAAAATGCTTCACATGAAAACAGACTGCATGCACCTTTGGAGTAATGGAGGTGTTTGGCAACTTTAAAAAGGAACTCTGGAACTCTTTGACCTTGTCTACAAGCAAGAACTCACAACCCTTTCAAAACATCTGAAATTTTCAACAAAAGGCATGACATTAAATAAAGAGCTTTGTTCAGCCAGATTTTGTAGAACATCTGTATGCTTCAATAGCTTTTAAGAAATCATTTTCAGAAAATTGGCTCCCATGAGAAGGCTGTTCTAGAATATGAAGAGCAGGATGCCTTTGATTGGTATCTGGCCATGTTTGACGCAAGTTTTTGTAGAAAGGATTTACTACTCCCAGAAGAAGATGTAGCTCCATTGGAGGGAAAAAGTCAAATAAAAGTGTTTGATTTTCCAAGCAAATAATTGGTTTTTGAATAACATTGTCGAACTCTTTTGCTCTTCTCAAAATTGACCTACTCCACAGTGGGCCGGATATTAGACATATGACGGACAAAATTATTTTGATCTTTTTTTTTCTAAAACCCTTTATATGTCCAAACAATCACTTTTATTAAGATATATTTACTTTTATTATAAATTTTAGTTGAATAGTTGCTTAGTATAAAAATTATTTAACAAACTTTATAAAACTTTAAAAACGCGGATTTAAATTTTTTTTAATTTCAAGTCACATAACTTCTTAAAATCGTTGAACTGGATAACAAACTGATCTGGTGGAATAAACTTAAAATAAAAAATGCTGCTACAAACTTTAAAAACAAAAATGCGCACTTTGGAAAAAATTAAAATTAATCATTAGATTTGAAATATACAGATAAATATATAGAAATATGAAGAAAATATAAATAAATATGTAGATTTCAAACTCTATTATTGATATTACTACATGTTCACGACGTTTTGAATAAGTCTATAGATTATTTATCATCTCTATATATAATAATGTATTATTTTTATTTTTAATCTATTGGCCGCAGATTCTGATTGAATAATATTACGTTTTTATTATTTATAAAGTCTTTAAGTTCTAAAGGTACTATACAAATAATCAACAGGCCCTTTCTTCACTATTTTCATTTTGACTTACCTGTTTTTAAATACTATATCCTGAAGCATCATCAAAACCAGTCAAACACTATATCCTGGAGCAACATCCAAACCAGCCTTGTATCTAAACGTCAGTTTAGTTAATTCCTTAGTATTGTGACTAGCGCACTAGTTTGTATATCAAATAGCTTTTTAGAGAGTGTTTTAGAAGATCTTTTAGCAGTGTTTGTACTGACTAGCCAACTATTTGAATGTTTTTAGGATAGCATTTAGCTTTTGAAGATTTTAAACCAATATATAAAGGATATGTGGAAGCCATTTTTTTTAGTACCATTTCTAAGAATGTGGTATGTTGATTTTGATATATTACCATTAGTATTTAATAATAAAGTTTCATCAGGTGAAAATATCTAAGCAGGTTTAATGTTTTTAATTCAATTTTCAAAAACTTTTGTGCCAGTTTTGTACTTAAACTCACTTCTTAGTTTCAATTTTGTTGCATAAAGTAACTTATGGCTAAATAAAATATTGATAACATTGTTAGGCTCATTTTATTCTGTTACGAGCTTTTTCAAAGAAGCAACATGGTTTCCCAACTTCATTAACTGATGATGTAGCATTTAATTTAACGTAAGTGTATTGAAATTCTTGAGGTAGCCAATTTTCATTACTTCTCTCAAAATGACTATTATCATTACTTGCAGCTATTAATTTTTGCATTCCAATTTGATAAAGTTTTTCACTCAGAATCCTCTAGCTTAATATATGTAGAAACTATAGCTTCAATGATAGGAATGGTACATCATTAGGAACTAGTTTATTTTGTTGTATAAATCTGTAAATGTCACCAATTTTTATTTTATAACATACAAAAAAAAAACTTACCTCGTTAATTTAAAGCCAGATTATAAGTGTTTTATAAAGACTGATCTTTACTCATTTTTTTTTACTGGTCAACTAAACTTAAAAGTTACTGTTTACTATAGCTATGTATAAAAAAAAATATTTAGACGCATTTTTTAAAAAAAAAATTTATTGTACATGAAACCGCAACTGACTTTTGTGGTTTTAAAAAACACTATTATACTCAAAACAATTTTCAAAATTTTAAATGAGTATTACAAATATGTTTTATTATATGGTTTTGAATATGATAAATATTTATTTTTTAGATTTTTCTACACCATCTATGTACTCCTTTAAATTGCATTAAAGTCAGCTTGAATGGAACTAAATGTTCTGGGTTTCCCACTGATGTAAAGATTTTTTGAATCGACATCACACCATGTACAAGGGTGAGCACTGGCATGAGACTGAAGTCCAGTTATGAGATTAGCTACATTTTTGTCACATGAAACAACAAAATTTTCCGCAACTGGAGCAATAAGCATTTCAAGTTTTCATATCTCTCTGGTAGGTTTTTCAGAAACAGCATTTAGTAACTGGCGCTTCACATCTGCGTCTTTTGCAACACACTTTGAGAGAGAAGAAGAATTCTCTTTGTTTGTTTCAATGCTTTCAAAAACAAAGAATACTTTCAAAAAACTACCTTCACCATTAATCCCCACTTTGATCAATGGTTCTCCAGGAATATTTCTGACTTTTGAAACAAGGTTGACTATATCAGACACATCTTTGCAGTGAACAACAACTCTGGTTAAATCTTTCTTTGTTGTGTCTTAAATGTGGTTTGAAGTGAGCTGTTCTGCAAGAGTCTTTCCAAGTGACCTAAAAAGTGACGAATTTTTTTTCAATAATCTGATGAGGAGTGGCTTGATTTAGGGATGATGCAAGTTTTTTATACCACAGTTAGAAAGTCCAGTTTCATTTTGAACCTTGAGCATATCTATAGCTGTTAGCTTTTTCTCCTCAGGAAAGAGTTCTCTTGCTCTGGATGGGACAATAAGAAAATACTATGCTATTAGACACATGGGATTAATGCTTATGATAATTTAAAACTTAATCATACCTGGAAAAACTGGAAAACTGTTGCCTCCCTTTGCTTGACTGAGACGGACAGTGCCATGAGGAGAAGCAGGTTTGTTTGAGATGACCATAGTTGCAACCATCTCTGCAGTCACTTTATCTTTTGAGGCAACATCAACCATTGCTCCTTTTGTACAATTGTGGGGCAGCCCTCGTTTAATCACAGAAAAACAGTTTGAACATCTTTTTCCAATGCTTCTTTTGTTCCTAGGTTTATTTGCTTACAGTGGATGAGGAATGTTCAGCTTATTTTTAGCAATTTAACAGATCGAACAATCACAAGGAGATCCTATAGTAGCTGGTCGAACTGAGATGCTCTTAAAATCGTAAAGGCAAGAAAGAGGAGGATTTTCATCCTTATTTTTTCTTCTGATGACAACACGACATCTTTCACAAATATTTAAAGGAATCTCAACTTTGAGAACTTTTTTGTGTTTTCTCAATCAGAAAAAATGTTAGTTTACGATTTTCCTTGTAAAGGCACAAAAAACAAACAGCTTTTCTATTCTCCTTGTGGTCTTTGGTTTTGTTAGGAAATTTTGCAACTTATATATTCTAGTGTGTTGTGAAAATTGTTTATTTTTTGAAATGCATGATTTTTTTCCAGAAATGTTTTTAAAAAAATACTAAAAAAATAAGACATTGTTTTGAGGTATTTGTTTTAGGAATGACAAAAACAACCATAGAACGTGCATAGTTTTCAGAAACACTAATGTTTTCACTTAAAATCACTTCTAGATGTTTTTCGCATAACCAAGTTGAGTAATAAGTTCTGTAAAAATGCAAAATCTTCTGTCATTTTGCAATTTTTTACGCCTATTAGCTTCAAAATATAAAATCGAAATATCTTTCTCGAACTTCATAGTTTGATTTCCAAATTTATATCTGTTCTACTATATATGGGCTATCATATATAGTAGAACAGGTATAAATTTGGAAATCTTTATAAATGTTCTACTATATATGGGCTATCATCCCCCAAAAAAATTTCCTGGAGACATGAATTTAGGATTGATCATGGTTTGGGGACACAGTGCACAGCTTTATGTAATTTAGCTTTTATAAATT